ACAGGCGCCCGCCACAACGCCTGGCTATTTTTTGGTTGCAGCCGTCATTGTTGTTTTGGCGGGTCCGGGCTGGGGATTCGAACCCGCCACCTCAGGTGTACGTGGCTGGCGCCTTAGCCGGTTGAGCCACAGGCGCCGAGCCCCTCAAGTTAGTCTTAAACTCAGGCAATCCACCTGCCTCAGACTCCCAGAGTGCTACATTATAAGTGTGAGCCACCTCATCCAGCCAAAGCCAAAGATTTTAAGTAGAAAGACTCAAAACAACCTAATCATGCAGTTCATCAAAATTAATCTTTTCACTTTTTCTTAAAGGTAAAACACATTCAACAGAAATTCAGGACTTTTTCTTTTTGAAACTCCAAAGTCAAGCTAAATTAATGAATATAACCAAAACATACCAGAGGAATACAGAAACACAACTGTACAAAATTACCTTAGAAATTTTTCTAGATATCATTAAAACTGACTTTACATATGAAAATAAATTTTAGCATGAGTTAAACTGAATGGAAGTCAAAGTTGTAAATTCTAATTTCATCTCTCTCAAGTACTGTCTTAACTTTTGTAAGTCACTTAAAGGTTAAAGAATTGCTTTCTGATTTATATATCTTAGAGAACTAACCTTTTCCTCAAGATTATAGGGAAGATGAGTGCAAGTTAACAAAAACAACTTTCAGAAAAGTACTAATAAGTATTTACATTAAAACATGAGGTATCATGCCACGCTATCAAATACATGCAAACATTTTTGTATAGATCATCTCTCGTGGAGGATTGTAAGATAACTCACAGAGGGCTGTTCATCGTAGGTTTCACACGTATATCCATTGAAAGCCACAACAGCCAATTCTGCAGTAGCTCTTTCAGAGTCTGAAGAACACTACACTGAGGGGGCAAAATGAAAAATCATTTGTGAAACCATTGAGACATAATAGCGTTCAGAACAAAAACAACAGCTTAGAGGGGGAAGGGATGAGAGAGATGGCCACATCCAATTTAGAACCCAACATCTGCTGCTCCAACATAATCAGTCTCCAGGAGACAGATGAATACAAATACAAGTTTATTTTGCCATTTTCACTACAAGAAACATCATCTCAAAAGGACTGTCCCAACTTAGCCAGGGACAGACTTTTCTCTAAATTACATTCATTTAAGACAAATACTACATCATCAAATAAAAACAGCATCCTTGGACAGCACCTGTGGTTCAAAGGAGTAGGGTGCCGGCCCCATATGCCAGAGGTGGCGGGTTCAAAACCAGCCCCGGCCAGAAAAAAGAAAAAAAAAAAAAAAACCAGCATCCTTATTGTCTCCTCTCAGAGAACCTTTAAAGTTGTTATAGATATGAGTTCCCCATTCTTCTCACCTTGTAATATACAACTACAATTTATTCCCTTTTTGATGTTCATATAAATTTATCTTATCTTCTGTGACTTTGGAAAACAAACAATCCAAGTCTTCCTTTCTCAGGCTTTGCCTTGATTTCCCAGGACTTCATTCACATACAAAAAGATACAGTCATAACAAAAATTTATCCAGAGCATTTATAATTATAATTCAAAAAAAATCCATACCACCCCAAAATCTAATAGAGAAAACCTTTCTTAAATATCCTAACAAATAATAAATAATGTACTGGTTATTATTTGAACATTTCCAGTGATAGGATACCCACTGCTACGCCACAGAACTGTTTAATTAATACTTTTCTTAGAGAATGACACCTCACATTCAGGTTAGAAATATTTTTGAGGCTCGGCACCTGTGGCTCAAGGGCCTAAGGCGCCAGCCACATACACCTAAGGTGGCGGGTTCAAATCCCCAGCCCAGGCCCGCCAAAGAACAATGATGGCTGCAACCAAAAAATGGCCGGGCGTTGTGGCGGGCGCCTGTAGTCCCAGCTACTTGGGAGGCTGAGGCAGGAGACTCGCTTG